GCCTGCATTGTCAAATACATGAATAATATAGTTTTGATGATTTTTAATTTGTATAATGATTTGTTTACAAGTTGTACTAATTATACTAACTGTACCATTTTCGTGTTAAAACCATCTTCATTTTTTACTTTTGAGGCTAAAAAATAGCTGTAGAGTTAGAAAGTTTGCAACCAAGATTCCAAAAACGCACCAGAAAAAATGGAAGGAGAGAGCATCGGCAATGACTAAGAGAGACTCACCAGAGGTAAAAAAAAGGACTGTTGTGAAGAAGATGAAGCTCGATCATGGTGTCCACGATGGGTCCTCGTCAAATCCAACCAAGCGGGCTCGGGGCTGCTAGCGAAAAATCACATCTCCATTGTACCCTCAAGGCGGTCTATCCCCAGAACCATCAACAGCTTCACCATCTCAGCTTGCTAGTGAGCCCTATAAATCATCAAGTTAACCCGAAAAGTTTATAGGTATTTTAGTATAACTAATACATCAAGTTCAACTACACAAAATATTTAAGAATAATACAACTAGTACAACTACTCGACACTAGTGTTTCAGCCAAAAGGTTTAAAATGATACACATTTAATTAAAATGTGATACACATTTAAAACAATCTATATAAAATATAAATAGTTGTACTAGTTTTCTAGCTATATTAAATGTACACAACTGTACTAGTTTTTGAGTTGTATCAATTTGTGCATAGATATACTTTAGCAATCAAATCAAAACATATTAGTTGTACCAGATAATAAATATATTTATCTTAGTGGTACCATTTAATTATGTTTATATGTCTTTGTCCGGTAACAATGAAATCATCAATTTCGTAAAATACATTTCGTGTATGTTTTCTCAAATTTTTGTGGACAGACAATTATAACAAACATTAAAAGTATAAGTTAAATCATGTAAACTTATGGAGTTGTGTAATAGTTTTCATTTTTTTCCCAAAACTTCAAATAATTAAGAGAAACTTTCTCAGTGCATTTAATATTCAACCACAATGTTTAAAACATGATATAAATTTAAAACATGATCCACACTTAAAAACCACTAAATAAAATAACAAGTAATTGTACCAGATTTTTAGTTGTACTAGTTTTTGAATTGTATTAATTTGTGCATAGTTGTTCTTTGACAGTGAAATTGAAAAACATTAGTTGTACCATAGAATAAATACAGCTATATCAGTTGTACCATTTATTTATGTTTACATATATTTGTCCCGTTCCAATAAGATCATTGATTTCGTAAAAAATACATTTCATGTATTTTTTACCAAAAAATTATGTGTTGACAAAGCTTAAAAGTATAAGGTAGATCATGTAAACTTATGGATTTATGTAATAATTTTTAACTTTTTTTTTCCAAAACTTCAAATTAAATTAAATAAACTTTCTTAGTACATACCAAACTGGGATATTTGATTGTTTTCTCATATGAAATACCAAATTGGTTTTGTTAATTTCTGAAATGTCAAAGTTGTACTAGTTGTACCGATCGATCAAATCTTTGATGATTCCATCATACATGATTGAGTTGCCTAATATAAAATAAAAAAATATAATTCGTTTATATGTCTAGTTTTTGGGATTGTACTAATATTTTTTACAACATAGCTTTGTAAGAATATATTGTTAATAAACCTTAATTATAAAGTAAATAATGTAAAATTAAGAATGTAAGGTAATAATTGAACAAAAAATTGAAAAATCTCTAGAAAAAATAGATGAAATTTTGTCATCATATACCAATTAGAATATTTATTTGTTTAGTTCATGTGTAAATTACAATATTTATATACTAATTATGCAATTTTTAACATGTTTATTTGTACGAGTTACACTAGTTGTATCCACTCAAGTGAGAGAATGAGATAAAGAAGATTATATGGATATGAGTGATTGAGATTAAAGAAAGATAAGGAGAGAGAATGAAAGATCTGTGAAATCGTACGACCAAGATTAAAACATAGATATAATGATCTAATGGCTCATGCAATCTTTTCATTAATGGAAAAATAGTCATTTTTTTCCTTGATCTCTGTAGGTTTTTTTTAGGTTGTTGTAGATCTTTTTGTGGCAATTTGGTTTAAAATATATTTTTGTCCACTAGGCTTGCACATCATATATGTCTGATGATGTGGTTTTCTCATATAATCGATTAAGCATATTAATGAAGTTGTGTTACAAAAAGAGAGTTTGCCCTAATACTCTCTCAGGTCCAAATATCGAGCAGCCGTCGGCCATCAGTTATTTCTACGCTGGTTAGGCCTCCGGCCGCCGATGTCGGGATCTCTGTCTGGATTTCAGCTCAACCTCTCGCCCCTTCTGCTCGCTCTACCATCTATATTGAATAATGATAGATATCTAAAATTTATGAGATTTAAGTCTTGTTGCGATTTACTATGTCTCAACTTCTAATTTCTTATAAAAAATGTTAAATAGTCTAATCTAATTTTAAATATTTTATATGTAAAATAAAACAAAAATAAAGAGAACAAATTTAAGTATTTTTTATGTTTTTAAGAAATGTGAAATTTCTCCTATATTTTTAATAGTTAATATGTAATTATTTATTAAAATTAATTAATGTATTTACCCGTGGTGTACTCGTGGTTGACTTTGTAACCCGGTGACCTGACAAGGTATCCGGTTCAGTGTTCGGATTGGGTTTAAAAACATTGTTTAACCCCCAAGCGGGTCAAAGTCTTATACAAAAGGCCCAAAAGATTTACAAGAGATTCTTGTATGTATATATGAAAGAAAAAGAGAGAAAAAATATATGTATATATATATATATATTTAAAAGCCCAACTAAAGCCCATTAATATACGCTCAATTGCAACCCTAAAATCTGAGAAAATCTCACTCTGTCTGTCTTCATCTTCTCGATCTATCGTAAAGTAAATTTGCTAATACTCTCCAGTGACGAATTCGCTACGCCCTTCACTACTCAAATCTCTCTCCCAAAGCTCTCACCTTTTCTCCAGTTCTCGGAAGATCTAAAGAGGTAAACTTTCCGTCGATTTCAGCTTCTTTGTTGTTAAATCTTTAACCTTTCTTGCATATTGTGATTACCCACTTCCTCGATTTCAGCTTTCTTTACGTGTTTGAGTAAAATTTGAGCTTTTTTTTTTTGCAAGCAGATAGTTCTAATGGAGGAACAGAGAGAGGGGACTGAGGTTGTTGGTGATGCTAAAGTGCCTACAGAGGAGGAAGCTGGTAAGGGAATGTCAAAAACTGAAACCCTAGGTTCTGAGGATGTTGCTGACACTGTAGAGGCTTTGGGTTCAGGTGTTTGCGATGTTAGTGGGACTGATGAAACCCTAAATGTTGAAAAGACTGATGCTTTGACAGATCCTGAAGCTGAGAGAATACAAAATGAGTGTGAAGGAGATGCTGAGGTGAAGCTGGTTAATGTTGGAAGTTGTGAAAGTGGAGGAGGAGGAGAGGAGACTATAGTATCTACTGGGAATAAAGTTGGTGATGAGAAGGGAACATGTGAAGTTAGTGATGAAACTGAGAAGTCTGAGAAAAGTTTAGCCGATTGTGAGGCGCTTTCTGTGGCAGAAGATGAAGGTGGCCAAGAGAAGGAATCAGCTAATGGAAGTGATGAGGATGATACCAGAATGGATGTTGATAGCAAACAGGCAAATGAAGAGAACGTTGGATCTGAGACCAAAGATGGTAAGTATTCAGAATCTGTACAAGTTCCAGAGGTTAGCTCTGCTGCTGAAGAAGAATTAGAAAATGTTAATCAACAAGAAGAAAACGGAGAAGCCATGGAAATCGATTCAACTGCAGAGGAGGTGGTGGAAAAGGATGTTTTGGATGATGCTGGCAATGAATCTGCTGGTGCAAGTCTGATTCAAACGCAAGATATTCCCATAGCTGAATCTGAGAGGAAAGAGTCCGATGTAGTAAAGGAAGTGGAGATTGATGAAGGGAAAGATAATGCTGAGATGGCTAGTGATCGTACCGAGAAAAATGAATCTGGTGATACGGCAAACCGAAAGAGTTCCTCTGAAGATGCTGCTCCAAATGAAGCTGAACCATTGGATGATAATTCTCTTTTTGATCCAAGGTCTGATATTACCAACTTCATTGATTTCAGTAGTGTATCATCTTGGTCAGGAAATATACAAGACCATAAAACTGAAAGTGGGAATGTATCTTTGAAAGAAGATAAGAAAGCTACTGACATGGCAGACGAAGTTGCAACGGACGAGTGCAACGAGGCCCCTAAATCTGTTGGTGCTACAGAGGGTCAAAAAGAAGATTCTGATGCAGTTATGGGCTCTGAAGAAATCCAAAAGGATCATCAAATCTCAGATGAGAAAGCATTAGATCAACAAGATACTAGGAGGGAGGAAGATGACACTACTCATGAAGTTCCAAGTAATGATCCAAACCAAAAGGAAGATACGGTAATGGAGGAAAATCCCAACAACTTTGATTATGCTGATTCTGAGACTAAAACAAATGGTTTAAAACGAAAGGCTGATGTCCTGAGTGAGGATTCACTAGGTGAAGGTAGGAAGACTGTTTCACTAGCGAAGGTGTCTTTTGCCCATAAGCCGTCCTTTAAAATCGGTGCAGGCATAGCCAGAGCTGCTAGTCAGATGGCAGGATCTCCTTCAGTTTTGAAGGGTAGTAACTTTGGTGACGAAAATCTTTCTGTTGAGAGTTTTGTATCCCAGCTTCACTGTGCAGCAACAGGCCCTGATAAAGAGAGCGTTGTATCAGAAACTGCTGCGGGCTTTTTCTTAGATTTCCGAAACTCAAAGGCTTCACAGGCGCTAATTCCAGAAAAGGCAAGCAGTAAAAGAGGTAAACCATCTAATTCTCCTGCAGGAGGAACTGAAGCATTTGAGTTTGAGGAAATGGGTGACACGTACTGGACTGACAGGGTGATCCATAACGGTGGTGAAGAGCAAGCTCAACCTACTGAAAAGGAAAACTATCAAGTTGTGCCGGTTGAGTTGAAACCTGCTCAGGTTAAAAGAACGCGCAGACCATACAGAAGACGGCAGTCACAGATCATGAGTCCTCTTACTCCAGCCTCAAACAAACCGGCGGATTTTGATGAGAATGCACCGGCTGAGCTTATAATGACCTTTTCTGAAATGGATACAATACCTCCTGAGAAGAGCCTGAGTAAAATGTTCAGGCATTTTGGACCAATAAGGGATTCCCAAACTGAGGTTGACACGGAGAATAAACGGGCTAGAGTAGTTTTTAGGAAGGGTGCTGATGCTGAGGTAGCTTACAAGAGTGCAGGAAGGTTTAACATCTTTGGAACGAAGGCTGTGAATTACGAGCTCAGCTTTACAGTCACTGAGACGTTCAAGGTTCAGCCTTATGTTGTGTCTTTAGGCGATGAGGAAGCAGTGCTACCTGCTCCTTCTTAGTTGTAGTTTTGATTCAGGTATGGTTAAGGCAAAAATCCTGTTCTTTTAACTTGTTGTGTACCCGCTTTATGTTCGAATGCTTGCATAATATTATCCCACTAGTTTGAAGGTTGAAGTTTTGTTAGCTGAGGTGTATACCTGTTTCACATATGTTTAGTTTTGGACCGAGAAGATTGAGTATATGTGCATAGTAGCCTGGTAGATAAATGCTAGGAAGTTTAAGACCCTTTATATATGTGAGCAAGTGATGAGACCATGTCGTTGAATGTTGTATTTCTTCTATAAGAGATTCTAATATCTGAGTTTGGATTCAATCAGCTGTTGATTTTGTGTTACAGGTGAAAACAATGGGAAGGCATGAAGACAAGAGAATTGGCTGGTTGAGTGATTCTAAGATCTGAGTTTGGATTCAATCAGCTGTTGGTTTTGTGTTACAGGTGAAAACAATGAGAAGGCATGAGACAAGAGAAGTGGATGGTGAAGTGACTCAGTGCAATTTGGAGGTTCTTGTTTTGTGTTCTGTTACCTTTTAGGTAGAGATGTAGTAGGGCTGTGTAATAAATTGAAACCAGAGTTCTTGGTTATATGTAATTGTGGAGGCTAGAGATGTAAACCTTTTTTTTTTCTTGTTCTTATTTGGAGTGACGAGATTTGAGTTGCTGTTATTAAATCAAGTGATGTTAGGAAAGTGTTGTCCAAGTGATTTTGGAGCATTAAATCTAGTTTTAACTTCGCACAGGGAGTTCAATCCGGTTCAACCAAACCGAATTCAAATTGTTTTGAAGAAAAGACAATTTGAAAACTGGATTGCTACAAACATGGATTTTATTTCATACTCTCTCTCTTTCATTATAAGTGTTACTCTACAGCTGTGCATGAAAAACAAATTACATAATAAAAGTAATAAATTTTGTATTGAAAATCGAAAACGACACTTATTTTGTAACGCAAAAAATTCTATACAACGACACTAAAAAATTCTCTATAACGACACTTAATATGAAACGGAGGGAGTATCCCTTTATTTGCCTAAACCTGGATTTTCTCTAGTTGTTGTCCAAAATCAACGTTAGATTCCCTAAAATGATCTTTTTTTTTTTTTTTCGGCGATTCCCTAAAATGATCTTAAAATCTGAACAAGAACCAAAACATAAACCCTATTAAACCAAACGTAATGTTTCTGTTTTTTTTTTTTTTAATTCAGACTTCAGAGTTCAGACTGTTCCTCTCTCTCTCAGAAGACTCAAAAGCCAATGCTAACGGCGTTAGAGGTAACTGTTACAAATACATTTACAGGAGGAAGGAGGGAACAACCCAAAAAAAAAAAAAAACATTTTGCGCATAAAATGATTTGAAAAAAAGGGTTTTCCAATTTCACGCCCTTTCCTCTTCCCTCCCACTTCACTATTTTACAAGAGAGAAACAAATAAAAATCTAAGCCCATCCTCCTCTCATTCATGTTTTATAATCCAAAATCTTCGCTTGCAACTTTCTCCAACCATTTTTCTAGGGTTCATAATCTCGTTGAAGAAAAATGGCGAAAGTTGTAGCTTTTAGTAGCACTCATCAAATGAGTGGAGGCTCCAAAGCTAATAAGAGAAAGACTCCCATTGAACTTAGAGTAAAGTCTTTTGCTTTCTGTCTCAAGTTTGTTCCTTTCTGATGCTAATCTTGTTTTTTATCACTACACACAGGGAGAACAATTGAACAGGACTAGTTTTGTTGACCAAGCTAAAGAGTCTTTTGATGCTTTACGCCCTTGCAAAAGGTAGATAAAAGTCTTCAAGTTTGTGAACTTGTTTTTCTTTTTTTTCTTACTTGTTATTGTCTTGTTGGCTGTAGTATTGAGAGGGAGTATGTGTTTAAGAAGCAAGAACAGTTGAATAATCCAAAATACATTGAGCTGCGTATGGATGAACTCTATCCTGTCAAAAAGGCTCCCCTTAGTTGGATGCAATCTAGCAAAGAGGTGAGAACCTCTCTGATTCTTGATTACTTTAGTTTTGTGTGTGTTATATAAGAAGACGGTTTTATAGTTTAGCACACATTTTTTTTTGTTTTACTTAACAGGAAAATGGTGTGAAAGAGCAATCCAGCAACTTATTCAATGTTTCTTTACTCTCAAATGTTGCTGCCATCAAAAGACAACAACTTATTCGGTAAAATGCTTATGGCAATTTCTCTCTGGAGTAAGTTGACTTAGTGCGGTTTAACTTATGTTCATGCTGTACTGTCTTAGCAGTGAGGACAATAATGCGTCTACTGAAGTTTCTAATGATACTGACACCGAAGCTCGACAAACAAATGAGGGATGCAGCGAGAGCATGTTTCGAAGTGTCACAGAACTTTCAACAAGAGGTGAAGAGTTATCCCACTTGCCAGATATTGATATGGTATGCTTCACTTGATAATCTTTGATCATTTGAGATGGCTAGTGAGATATTAAGGTCTTGATAAAACTGATTTCGTCTTTCAACAGACCAAAGCACTGAAAAGACTTGCTAATTGTGCACCATTACCGGTTCAGCCTGATGACATAAGTGGGGAATCTGATACTGCTTCGTTAAGTGGAAATTTTGTATCGGAATTCCACATTCCTGGGCGAGAGATTCCTCTGGACCTTTCTATGAAGACTTATGCTCGACTTGTTTCCTCTTCCTCATTACATTGGTGAGATAAAGCTATTTTTAGTTAATTAAATACTGTTTTTTCTGCCTTTGAAGTTTGATTAAATCTATTATCTTCCATTTTAATGATGTTCTAGGTTGCATAGGTCAATCATGGGTAGCACCTACAACGGTATGCCACAGCTAAAGTCGCTGTCGTGTAATGTGGTAAATGAAGATAACAGTAATGGTTCTGGATCAGCTGTGGTTTCTCAGGTGTTAAATTCCATGTCGCTACACTCATGGGTTTATCCCCAGTCCACGTTGCCATCTTTTATCATTTCAGCATTGATAACATCTGGACCAGACAGAGGTTTGTTAAATAGAGTTCTAGAGCTATACTTTCTTAGGAATCTTCCTTCTAAATTCTATAAATAGATCTTCATTTTGTTGTTTCAGGTGAAGATGATTTCCTACAAAAGAGACAATTAGCATGGGAAGATGCTTTCCGAAGTCTATATTTTATGTTTCGGAAGAATCTCTGCAAAATATTTTATGGTAATCCCTTCGTTTTATTCCTGATTTAGGATGTCATTTTCTTGCGGGTATAACACTAATTAAATGAAGATAACGTCAATGGCACTGAAAACTATGTTAGGTCTCCCATTGGCACTTTCATTTAGAAGAATTCAGCTTTCAGCGTACACCTTGCTGTTACTTTTCTGTCTTGCTAAAGATGCATCAAAGTCACATACACCTTTAGTGTTATAGAAATGTGAACTTTCATGCACAGCATCTTTCTCATGCTCCATCTCTCTTACTGTAAACGATATATATGACATACTATTGAAGTGAAACTAAATTAAGTTTTGCATTATTCGTAATGTAGTTTGTACTTCACAGTTTGTGGCAATGTTCACCGGAAGCTGTCAGGCAGGGGGTGTCAAACGCTCATGCAATGCCAATGCCTATATCACTCAATCAACTAGAAGATTGAGAGCCATGCTTAAAGACCTTGTAAGACATGCTCCCTGTGTATTGTTAAGCCTTTTGCTTTATTTAATTCTTAGCAAGTTGTTTGTGTTATATATTTTCATTGGGGCTTTCAAACTAGGCTGTAGCATCCTCATCTGTTATTGTTTTTCTGGTTAAGTTTTGGTATCTGAACAAGTTTCATGATTGACTGGTTTTGATAGGACTTTTATGAAACGTAGTAATATTTTGCGAAAAATGCACAATAGCTAGAGGCAGGCTGCTGCTTGTAATAGGAGTTGTAGTCTCATCTACACATCTTTGGTTCGCTTTTCTCGAATTTTGAAAATCCATGTGATTTTCTGAAGCGTACTGTAGTTTGCAGCAGTTGAAGTTATTTTTCCGGTTCATAGATGATAGAAAAACTTGTTGCCTGATGTTTTCTACTGCTCTGAGTTCACCAATGTTTGGTCATCAGTACTCTACTAATACGATCTGAATATGTTATTCACAGGACATATGCTACTCTATGCCTCTTTGCAAAACTAAAATGGATGAGACCACAGTTGAAGATCTTGAAGAAATTTCAGAGATAGAGAATCATAACCTTGGCCAGGTTTGTGCACCTTCAGTTACCTGTACAAAAACTATATTTTTATCTAGGTGAATATTCCACTGCTACGAGTGTGAAGCACATGTTCGTAAATGGGAGAGTACTGGTGTATCTTTCTGACTCCTCCTGTTAATGCATGCAGACTCGTCGTTTACGTTCCGTTTCAAACATAGATAATACTCCACAATCGTTCTTAGCCTTTGAGGGTAACGAGAGCGTAAATGGAGTATATGATCTTCTGTTAAATTATAGGTGCGTATAAACATTTTTAGCTACATATCGGGCACATCTAAATCCTTTATAACAAATTTACTTGATGTGTTTCTCTAATCATAGGTCTTCTTTGGGATTTCTTCTCACCGAAGACGTACCTGTATTATATTCACCTGTGCCATTTCAGAATGCTGCAGTGTCTTCTCCTGAGGTTTGTTTATTTGCTTACATTTTCACTTTTCTCTGTGATCTTTGAATAACATATTCAGAATATGTACTACTTGTTCGTTCATCTCCAGATCAAGTGCACGGAGATGGTAAAAACAGATCATACAAGTTGCTACATGGTCGAGATAAAGAGTGAATATCTTCCGCCGTGGATTATTAGCAATATTTGTGCAAACGTGGGTGCTAATGGACAAAACTTTGAAGCCAGGTTCGTTCATGCAGATTTGCTTCTTCTCTTCCAAAACATAAACTGAAGTCTATGTTAACATTCTTTGAGTTGAATTCAGCTTTGTGACCGAGCCAACCTCTGTTAGCTTAAACATGGGTCTACCACAAATCCCTGAGAAAACCAAGCCAGAGACTTCAGTCACCGAAGGCACAGGAGAAACAAAGGATAATGCGTCTGGAATCCCTGGATCAGTGGTCTGCCTTCAGCTTCAATCAGGCTATCTAAAGAGCTTGAAGTATTGCAACAACTTGAACACTGTTTCTGTTTCGCTGTCTCCCTCGTGATCTGTATTTGCATAAGATGCTAACATCTTCTTAAACATATATGATGCTAACATATAAGAAGAAACTATTTTGGTTTGATTCCTGACTTTATTCATGCATAACAGAGTGCCTTTTGTGTTACTATCTGTGCCTTGAGGAAATGTACGAACCAAAACAAGAGGAAAAGAATGATTGATTTGATATATTCAGCCAGAATCTGGACCATCCCATACATGTCACGCAATAAAGATAAAATGTACATTCAATTTGCACTAACTATGCCACAATGAGAGAAAAAAGAATGGATATATCTAGACATGTGCACTTGTTAAACAACTCCATCTCCTACTCCTAGACCCCTCGCCTAGAATCATAAGCATCCCCATATTATTTGCTGACATATCATACACATACCTGCATATTTTGTTATTAGCAATCAGAATATTGAACCAAAAATAAGTGTTGTTACTCGTATATCTACCTGTTTCGCTTGGCTTTCCTTCTCCAAGAAACAAAAGACACCATCCACTGAACACACAAGAATGAAGAGAGATCAAAACTTGACACTTAAACATAGCTTCCACATCTGATAGCTTTAAGATATGAGAGATTATGATTGTTCTACCTTGAAGGCTGTTACTACAGAGAGTCCTTTGAAAAACGGCATTTTGCTAACCATGTTTCTCCTGTTTGTTGTGATAGTTTCCTTAGATAGACGCTGTGCGTATTCTTTCAGCAACACCAATTCAGCTTTGTCTGTCCGCATCGACACAATGATCTGCCTCAGTGATTCTTTATCAGCCTCAAGTGATTGAAGCCTTGTGTAAAGCTTCTCAATCCCTGGCTCATTAACTCCTTGCTGAGCCATGAACGGTTCTTGTTTTCTCGGAGAGTTCCAATGATCACAACCATTCAACTTCCCTTTACTCAACCTACTAGGCTCGTCTACAACCTTAACTTCAGAAACTCCCACATGAATTGCGTCAATAGTATAAACTCTGTCACCGCTACTAGACATAGGAGAGTCCCTCGCAGTTCCTAAAGGTGAATTTGGATCATAGTAAGGCCATCTTGGAGACTGATTAACATTACCATCTGGTCCTCCTCCACTCATGGTCTCATCATCCACACTAGTATACTCACAAGGGTAAACATCAACACCAACCATGCTAGAGTCTCTACCAAAGCCAAGTATCTGATCATTCATCTCTCCTTCTGTTACACCATAGCTCAACAGCCTATGCTTATAAGCTTCAACCTCATAAGTCAAAGCCTCAATAGCTTGCTCTTTCTCATACAACAACTCCTCCAAAACCAAAAGCTTCTCCTGATCATGAGTCATCTTCTCTTCAGCAAAGGCTTTGAACTGCCTAGCTTCCATCTGTATCTCAGCCTTTTCTCTCTGCAGCCTAAGTATCATCGACATTGTCTCATTAGCTGCTGAAGCAGCAGCTTTTCTCTCTTCTTCGAGCTCCAAATGAAGATCTTTCACTGTCTTCCTTTGGGAAGAAAGATCCTGAAGTAAAGCAGCACATTCGTTTTCAACTAGTAGCTTCGCGTTTGAAGATGAATCAGAAGCGCCACGTAGCAAGTTGAAGTCGTTGAACTTTCTTTTAACCGTTCTAGTCAAAGGGTCTGAAGAAGAATATGCCTCAAGGGAGTAGTCACAACATTTCACAACGTCTCTTGAAGAAAACTTTAACTCAGAATCCATTGTGTGGTATATACTCAGAAACAGAGCCTCAAATGCTAAAGATACAACAATGAAAGGCTTGAAAGCAAGAACCTTTGTTGCATTCTCTAATTGAAATTGCGGGAAACAAGAACAATAATGAGCCACAAGACCTGAATAAAAGACCCAGAAAACAACATTGCCGTTAACAAGCGAAACAGAGGAGATACAAAGATTGTATCTTTTCAAGAATATATGTGTAATCTTCTTTACCTTGACAAGAAACTTAAGATGGGTCCAGCTACCTATTCACAAAGATCCATCCTTTACGGAAATACAGAGGAGAAAAGAAAAAAAAAAAGAAATTTTTCTCTCTGTTTCCAGGAAAGAAACAGAGAGGAAAATTTTAGTCAAAAGGAAAAAACAGAGAGGAAAATGTCAGAAACAGAGAAGAAGGAGAAGGAAGGATATGTTTTTGTCTTTGTGTTTGATTCTCCATCTTCCTCATCTAATCTCCCTTCTTTATCGGAGCGCGTTTCATAAGTTCTTGGGCTACGTGCCCACAGAGACGAGTAAATTTCTTGATTAATAAAATAAAAAGCTGACAAAAAAAAGATTAATTAAAGGGTTTATTTGTGAAATGGCCAAAAAGAAAATTAAATTTGTAGTAAGAAGTTAGAGAGAGATAGGAAGAGAATAGGAGGAGAGAGAGTAGGATTTTAGTTAGTTAATGAAATATGATTTTTTTGTATGGTCATTTGGCCTAATTTCCTTAATTAAATGAAATTAATTGTTACGAAAAAGGCCAAAGAAAAAAAAAATCAGTGCAATATTTTTGCGAGTTTTTAGAAAAACTGAAAGTCCAGAATTGCATTTGTATGAGCATAGTCTAGTTTAGGAATCATACATCAAGATGATTTGATTTACAAGCAGATTAATATATATTCACCAAAGCAACATATTCACCAACTATATTCTTGGTGTATATGTTTTTTCTTTTTGCTAAATCTCTTGGTGCATATGTTGCTTCATCATCTTTATATAGATAAGGTTGGCTTGAGTTATATAGGTAGAAGTTAATTTCATTGGTTTGTGTGTTTGGTTCACAAGGATTTTGTGATCTCTCTTTAGAAGTTTTATTGACAGATGTATATGGCTGTAACTTGTAAGTTGTAACACGTGATTATTAATGAAATAAAAATAAAGAAAAAAAGAGGAATTTAATGAAATTAAATGAAAAGAAAAAGGAAATTTTTTTATAAATAATAAGAAGAGGAATAAAAAGCAATGTACCAAACAAAATTTAAAGAACATAAATGGAAGCTAATCATACAAAAACAAGTTTATGAAGGACATTAAAAAACTGAATCAGATTTTGAATCCACCACCGCAAGTTTTGCCGCCAACACTACGAACAGTATTACAATTCGCATGGTCACCAGACTCACCACCACAAAAACATTCAGAGACCCATAAATATCATTTCTACCTGACCAATTGTTGTTGACAACACGACTGCAGCAATCATCATACTTTGTAATGTAGAGTGGGCGTTGGGGTTCGAATCATGTATTTTGGTATACGGGTCTAGAACCTGTTCAGATCGAATACATGTGTTTTTATTTTGGTTCAATTATCTTGGTTCGAGTTCGGATATTTTAGATTTTAGAAAAAATAATCAAATTCTTTATTATTCAAGTTTTTTATATTTTTTAAAAAATTACATTTAAATTAACTGATTTTTAAAATTTTAATATGTTAAATGATTAATAGGTTTGCAAATTTTTTTTTGAAAATTGAAAAACATTAATTTAGTTGATGTTGTAAAAATTTGAATGTAACTTTGTTAATGTATGAAATAAAAAGTTTAAAATGTATTTTAAATGAATATATAATTAATTTGTTCACAATTTTATGTATATTATATGATTTTGAACCAAGTACAATATTAAATGTAAATATTTTGGATAAAATGAGTGAGGTAAACTAAAAATATAAGATTAAATATATATATTCGGTTATCTTCGAATATCCGTTCAAGTTTGGATATTACATGTTTGGGTTTGAATATCCAATCTTTCCTAACTCAATATCTGTTTAAATATTTTGCTATTTCGGTTTAGATTTTGGTTCGTGTTCTTCGGATCGGATTCGGATTCAGTATGAGGTAAAATACCAAAGCATACTTTGTAATAAAACCTTTTATCTTGTAAAAGATGGTGAGCTTGCGGGTTTTGTTGCAAACTTCCTTATAGTTGTGTATTTGGGTTTTTGTATCAATTAGGCCTTTGAAAGCCTGCCCCGATAACACCAGAAAGGTGGGATAGAGGGCACAACTACAAGGCATCAGATTCTAAAAAGTACGCTAAAATTGCTTTGAGAACTTTGTAGTCCTTTTCTTTGAGAAGCCCATATAATAAAAAAGTCTATTCACTATGAGAAGCCCATATAATAAAAAGTCTATTCACTGTTCTCAGAAAAAAAAAATATATACATATATATATATATATATATATTCAATCAGAAAATCATATTCCACTATACATTCGCTTTAATTGGTTCACAACAGGACACTAGACTTTACTGTTTCAAAAGCTATGTGGGATGTTTACTCAAATGTTTAACAAACATGAAAAATTTCTCTCTGTTTCCATGAAAGAAACATAGAGGAAAATTTTAGTCAAAGAGAAAACAGAGAAGAAGGAGAAAGAAGATAAAGGAATGTTTTGTTTTGTCTTTGTGTTTGATTCCCCATCTTCCTCATCTATCTCCCTTCTTTATCGGAGCGCGTTTCATATGTTCATCTTGAGCTACGTGCGCACAGAGACGAGTCATTTCTTGATTAATAAAATAAAAAGCTGACAAAAACAAGATTAATTAAATGGAGTTAATTGTTTCGAAAAAGGCCAAAGAAAAAATAAAATTAGATAAGTGTTCCTAACTAAACAAAAATAAATTAGTGCAAAATTTTTGTGAGTTTGTAGAAGATCTGAAAGTCCAGAATCGCATTTGTATAGTTTAGGAATCATACATCAAGATGATTGGATTTACGAGCAGATTAATAGTATATGTTCACCAACTGTATTGATTTAACCGATTCGACCACCCTTGGCGCATATTTTTCTTCATCATCTTTATATAGATAAGGTTGGCTTCAGTTATATAGGTAGAAATTAATTTTATTGGTTTGTGTTTGGTTCACAAGGATTTTGTGATCTCTCTTTAATGTTTTGGTCTTTAAACTATTTTTTAAATTTTTTTGTTAATTACATAATTTGTTTACTGATGAGTTGATTTCATAAAAAAAATGTTCTGAGTCAAAATATCACTTAATCGCAAAGAATCTAATGTTTAAGTCGAAAAATCTCAGTTCTATTTGGTTACAATGAAACTATGTCAACTCGGTTTTATATCATGATTTAGCAATTTAAAAATTAATTATGGTTATAAAAAATTTATATTTACGTGTTAGTCCTATTTATCTTTAATATTTTTTTTTCTTTTTATGTCCTTTTCATATTGGTTATTGCTCAAAATAAATATTAATTTTGAAGTTTATTCTATTTTCGTTTGTTTGTTTTAGTCTGAGATTTAAAAAAATGCTTAAGATTTAAAATAATTAAAGAGATACATACTTAGGTTAAGATCTGCACTTTTTGTAAAATAAGTATTTTATATTTATTATTTATTTTAGGTTTTCCTGCATATTATGAAATAATAAATTAATAAGTATATATATTAAATAACTAAGAAATCAGTTACTATTATGTGATAAATTGGCGTGTGCATATAAATCTAATCATCAATCTTGTTTATTTGTAATTAGGGTAAATAAATCAAAATAATCAATCTGATATATCGTATATGATATATAATTAAATTTAAATGATATTAACATAGATATATAGTATACTTTTAATATGAATATTTATTAAATGAGATTTCTACTCATATGATTTTATGATTATTTAACAATACACCAACAATTTTTTTTTAATGTGAGATGTTTAGTAGTTTCAATAATTTATAATCATTAAAAAAAGAATGATAGTTTTAAAATTAAAATATTAACTTTTCAACATGTGTTCAATTCAAATATTAAAATATAAGTGTATTTTCATACGATGCAGGGGCGGATCTAGGTAGCCCAGCATGGGTGCAGCTGCCCCCACAAAAATATACAAGAAAATCTATTTGTATTAGAAAACAAAGAAATCAAGCAGTTAAGTTGGTCAAAGTCCTCTCTTTGCCCCCACTAAACCCAGTCTCAAAGCTCCACATCTCATTTTTATTCACTATTTTTATATTTTTCCCTTTCTTTACTTTCTAATTTTCCTTTTTCCATGTTTTATATTTCTTTTTTTCACCTTACCATATGTTTTTTAGAATCTTTTTTGGTCATATGTTCTTTTCATTCAATTAAATTTTGATTTAACAAATAGTTCCAATTTGTTTTTGTTAATGTGTTTATTCTTTTTTTCAGTTGTAAAACATTCTTTTAGTTGTATTATTTAGTTGTTTCCTACTAAGTTTTATCTATTAAAAGATATAAAACACATTTATGCAAAAAAAGAAAAAAAAATTATGCCCCCACTAAAAATATTTTCTAGATCCGCCACTGATACGATGTATAGTTTAATTTAAACGATATAAAATATAATATATATATGTATATATATATAATAACATAAAACCTATTAAAATAAATTATTTCTTCATACAGTTTTATAATCATTGTATTTTAATATAGAAAAAAATTTAAACCTTGATCATTAAAACTTCTTTACTTTTTATGTATGATCGATTACGAGACCATGTGAAGGCTGAAGCATCATTTTACCCATTGTAGATTTTAATATTTTTTATAGTAAAATAAGTTTAATAGATAAGTTTAATATTTATTTACTAATTTTTTTGGGAAGAAGGTCAATGGTTGGACTTCACTCTCTTTTCCCGCAAAATCGCTTCTCACAACTTCAGATCCGCCAAGAACAGTAACAAAAGCGTTGAATTAAAACCATGACATCACCAACGTAAGGTTGATCTTAGGATCAAGATCTCAAATTTCATTTTTAATCTTTTAGTAAAGAAAAGAAATGTAATTGATATTTGTAGTTTTCTTTTTTTTTTTTTTTTTTTGGGCAACATTATGATTCATAAATCTAAACGAGTTCGTTACACAACGAGGGAGGGGTAATGGAGGGCTGACTTCGCCAAGGAATCAGCCATCACATTATGCTCACGACCAACAAAAGAAACAAAGAAGAAATCGAAAGACAATGATAAAAACTCGATATCCTTGAGAACTCCGAAAAGCTCCACCGGGTATGAGTTCGAGTTGATAGCTCTGACGAGCTCCTGAGAGTCGGTTCTAAACTAGACTTTGAGAAGAGAGGTGCGCTTTGCTTCTACAACAGCCTCCCTCATGGCCAGCGCTTCCGTCATAAGGGGAGATGAAACATGATTAGCTGTCCGTGAGTTCGTACCTCTGGGAGAGAGGTCTGTATTACAGAA